TATGTATATATGTGTGTATATATATATATACATATAATATACTCATATATAATAGAAACAATCATTTTCAGATATACAATATTTCGGAAAAGACTATGGACAGAATGGAACAGCAAATTAAATTTATGCATGTGGCCATCATAAAAATATCTGAAACACTGGAAAAAACAAATAACAAAATTAAAATTCTTCTTTTCATTGTTATAATATTAGGTTTACATTCATTGATTATAAAGGAGGATTATGGATTGTTATTTTGGGTTAGCATTGAGATAATGATATATATATTTAGCCTTATAAAACGTTTCATGAGCTCTGTATTTTTTGTAGATTCCATACAGGAATTAGTTATTAAGTTATTAATATTTATCTCTATTATAACATGTTTTCATTATCTTCGCATTGTATTGTCGGAGGAATAATAATGAATTATAATTTTTTAAAGAATAGTATTAATAGAATAGATTGTATTTTAAAATACTAACTTTTGTCATTATTTATATTGTTTAAATCCTGTTGATTTGTTTAGATTTATTATACATTATTAGACAGAAAATGTTTACTTTATTTTTTTACTCAATATTTTATTTAAAACTTTTTCTCTGGTATGACTCCATCTATTAATATCCAATATTTTTTTGTGAAATTTTCTTGATATTTTTAATATTATATGTATTTTTTAGTGATATTTATTCAATTATATTCAATTATATGATGTATAATAAGATCAGCGTGTCTAAGATCGTTTTGATATACAAATAATGTTTCTAAACAATCAGAACTAGAATTGTTTTAGCACAATAGAAAATTAGAATAGTTTATATAAATTATTTTTATGTAAACTATCTGATTTCTCTTTTTTTCTTTATTAGTATAAATGGCAATGTAAGTTAATATGCTAACATATAATGTCTAGAATATAATTTAGGATTAATTTTTAATATTTAAGATATATTCGCATATTATTGATTTATGTGATTTATGATATATTACATTATATTTTATACTATTAATATAAAGTTTAATTACTAATTTTAGAATAATTAGAATTAATTATAATATTAT